AAGCTGAAGCTTCGGTACTCTGGCCACCTGATGTGAAGAGCCGACTCATTGAAAAAGACCCTGATGCTGAGAAAGACTGAAGAAAGAAGAAGAGGGCAGCAGAGGATGAGACGATTGGATGGCCTCACTGACTCGATGGACATGAGTTTGAGCAAGCTCAAGGAGATAATGAAGGACAGGGAAGACTGCTGTGTTGTATGTAGTCCATGGGGTCACAAAGAGTTGGACATGACTTAGTGACCAAACAACAATATTTGGGCCTGGAGATGACTTTTATTACAAGGAGCAAGCCATGAAATTCATGACCAGCCTAGACAGCATATTAAAAAGCAGAGACATTACTTTGCCAACAAAGGTCCATCTAGTCAAAGCTACGCTTTTTCCAGTAATGTGTGGATGTGAGAGCTGGACTATAAACAAAGCTGAGTGGCGAAGAATTGATGCTTTTGAACTGTGGTGTTGGAGAAGACTCTTGAGGGTCCCTTGGACTGTAAGGAGATCCAACCAGTCTATCCTAAAGGAAATCAGTCCCGAATAGTCATTGGAAGGACTGATGCTGAAGCTGAAACTCCAATACTTTGGCCATCTGATGGGAAGAATCAACTCATTTGAAAAGACCCTGATGCTGGGAAAGACTGGGGGCGGGAGGAGAAAGGGAAGACAGGATGAGATGGTTGGATGGCATCACCAACACGATGGACATGAGTTTAAGTATGTTCCAGGAGTTGGTGATGGACAGGTAAGCCTGGTGTGCTGCAGTCCATGGAGTTGCAAAGATTCAGATATGACTGAACAACTGAACTGAACTGAATATTCCATTGTATATGACAATCACACAGCTAACATCACACTCAATGGTGAAAATGTGAAAGTATTTCCTCTAAGATCAGACAAGACAAGGAGGCTCACTCTCACTACTTTTATTCAACATAGTTTTGGAAGTCCTAGCCACAGCAATCAGAGGGGAAAAAGAAATATAAAAATCCACACTGGAACAGAAAAATAAAACTGTCAGTGTCTGCATATGACATAATATGATACATGAAAATCCTAAAAATGCTACCAGAAAACTACTAGAACTCATCAATGAATTTGGTAAAGTTGCAGAATACAAAATTAATATATAAAAATCTGTTGTATTTCTATACACTAACAATGAAAGATCAGAAAGAAGAATTAAAAAAAAATTCCATTTACCAGCACATCAAAAAGAATAAAATATCTAGGAATAAACCTAGCAAAGGAAGCAAAGGCCAAGACAACTGTAAGATGCAGATGAAAGAAACTGAAGATGATACAAATGGAAAGATATACCATGTTCTTAGATTGGAAGAATAAATATTGTTAAAATGACTATAGTACTCAAGGCAAAATATAGATTCAATGCAATCCCAATTACCAATGGCATTTTTCACAGAATTAGAAGAAAAATTTTAAAATTTGTATGGAAACACAAGAGGCTCTGAATAGTCAAAGCAATCTTGAGAAAGAAAATCTCAATCTTGAGCTGGAGGAATCAGGCTCCTTGACTTCAGACGATACTACGGAACTTCGTAGCTTCACACTAATCAAAACAGCACGGTACTGGCACAGAGACAGAAATATAGATCAATAGAACAGGACAGAAAGCCCAGAAACAAACCCATGCACCTAAGATCAATTAATCTACAAGAAAAGAGACAAGAATATCCAATGAAGAAAAGACAGTCTCTTCAATAACTGGTACTGGGAAAACTGGACAGCTACATGTAAAATAATGAAATTAGAACATTCTCTTAAACACCATACACAAAAATAAACTCAAAATGGATTAAAGACTTAAATTAAATGTAAGACTGGATAATATAAAACTCCTAAAGGAAAACACAGGCAGAACACTCTTTGACATATATTGTAGAAGTATCTTTTCGGATCCATCTCCTAGAGTAATGCAAATAAAAACAAAAATAAACAAATAGGACCTAATCAATAATAATTTGAAAAGGATTCAAGCAGGTTTATGAGCTTTCTCTGGTTCTAAAAAAGAAAAGCAACACAGTGAAGATTCAGAAAGATTTCAAAAATTAAAATTTTCAGAAGTGGGTAGAATCCTCAGTTTCACATTAAAAAAATCTGCTGAAAGCAAAATATTCACTCAGAGGGAGTTCCCTAGCAATAATTACAGGACAACTGCTAAGGTACGATGTGGAGTAAAAAGGGAGATGGGCAAAAAGGTGAGGAAAGAGGATCGGGGAGTTCCCTTATCCACTCACAGAGCTCTGGGCCACAGGGGGAGTGGAACGTTGGGTTTGCAGTCACAGTGGGTCCACATGGTAACTGCCGAGATGATCCACATGATAAATGTTCCTAGACAGTGACTGAACTTTCTCAAAGCCTCTTCTGCTTATCACTAAGAAAAATGAACTAATGCAGGATAGTTAAAACAAAACCAACAACAGTTGCTCTAGGTAAGAGCCATGGAATGCCACAGGAGGCAGGAAACAAGATGTGCTAATAAGGTGGCAGAAAGCTCACGATGTTGAGGGCTGGGAGCTCAAGAGGATAGAAGGGGAGGATGTGGGCGAGTTGAGAGTAAAGGGAGTACCCAGCAACTATGCAAGTCCCAAGGCCAGAAGGCTGTTAGAAGGAATAGGAACTGGAATACTTTTCGAATTAAATCACTGACTGACACCCACCAGTGTGCTTTGAATCTACATTTAAATCTAACAAAATTGTGGTATTTCTTTTTCCTGTCTCCAAGTAAGCAGCATAATGCTCTCAGCATTAATCTGTTCGCCCTAAGAAGGGAGGCTAGGTTAGAAAGCAGAGTCACGATCTTGAGCTGTGCTAAGGACAGGGGAATCTTGGAGTCCGTGCTAGATGCCCACAGCCTTTTAAGCTGGCCTCACTCAGTTAGAAGTACCTGGTTGAAACACAAATCTATTAGCCTAAGATGAGAGGAAGAAACAGACTCTCGGTCCTGGTACTTCGGCAGCTGGTGGCCATCAGAGAAGCTCTGATCTGGATGCTCAGGGTTCCACGGCTCCTTTCCAAAGCACGTGCGCTAATTCCTGGTTAGGTCTTTTTAGGAACTGTGGAAAAAACCTCTTCTGTTCTCTCAACGAGAGGCATAGATAAGCACCAGAACATGCCCTTTGCCACAATGACAAAGGCAGCTTTTGGGAACAGGCATTTAATCTAGGTTACCATCAAGGGACCTCAGTGTCAAGCATGTTGAAGCCTACCGAAAAACACAGAAAACAACAATAAAACAAAAAAGAAAGAAAACAAATGCTACCAAGTGCATTTAAGATGAACAATATGAATTAACAGTTATGAAAAGCACTGTCCCAAAAAATCAAATACCATTTCCTTTCTTATCTCAAACATTGTGTTTGATTCTTTCCTTCCTCTCTCCCTGCCAATCAACATACACTGAGGGATGACAACATGTCAAGTAACACACTGTCAATAAAGTCCACTTTGATAGGGAACAGCAACTCTTTTGGGACAGGACATCTATATGTACGCTATAACTACCCTACGGGAGAGCTTTCTGCTCCAAAGAAAGATATTCTGACTTTACAGGGTACTTATACCTTCTTTCATTTATTTCCACTTTGTCAGTAAAGCAAAAGAACCCAAACTAACTCAGTGTCAAAGTGTGTACAGAGAAGTATCTCACATCACATTGATAACACTGTCTTAAACCAGGCAAGACTGCTATTTTAAAAACTGTCACCTAACATTTACAAAGCACTTTAAGGTGTACAAGCGTCCCTGGTGGCTCAGACGGTAAAGAATCTGCCTGCAGTGTGGGAGCCCTGGGTTCGATCCCTGGGCTGGGAGGATCCTCTGGAGAAGCAATGGCTGTTCACTCTAGTATTCTGGCCTGGAGAATTCCAGGGGCAGAGAAGCCTGGTGGCTAGGGGGCCGCACAGAGTTGGACACGACTGAGTGGCTTTCGCTTTCACTTTTAAGGTTTACAAAGAACTCTCACATACATTATCACTTCAGTTGATCCCCATGCTGCGAGGTGAAAATGACTACCCCTGTTTGACCAAATGAGGAAACAGATGCAACAAGATTAAGGCACTTGTACCAATTCTCCTAGCTAGTAACTGGCAGAGGTAAAACTGGAACCCAGATTGATTTGACTCCAAAGCTGGTGCTATTTCTAATTGACCAAATGTCTCTCAGAAAAAAAAAGATAACATACTCAAGGAATTTTTTTTTTTTCCTGTTGTATCCAGTGGACAAATGAAGCACTCACTTTAGTTGAGCTAATTAAATATTTAAAAGTTTCTCTGTGACATAAGTGAACTTTTTATCAAAACTTTTTATTTAAACTCTACAAATGTCTCCACAAAATATCCAAAAAATTTGCATGTCACAACTAAGGAATACAATATTTCTGAAATAATGCTACTACATCCTTGGTGGCCAGGGACCAGAGGGTAACTTAAAATAATAAGAAAGCAGGTCTTGTGTCTAAAGGGGGTACATGATCCTTAGGACAGAGCAATTTACAATTAAAGACCAAGTGACAGCTAAGTCCCCAACTATTTGGCTGGGACTCTAGATGCCGGCGGTCTTGGCCCCCGACTGCTCTTCCTGTAAGTTAGGGACTTTTTCAAATTTCACAGCTCAGTCCTTTGTTAATATACCTACTCACCTTTTTTTGTATGCAATACAAAAGTTAGCTTTCTCTTATTAGTATTCATTCTCTTCAAATTTTGTTAATTGGTTAAAACTTCTCACAAGTTCATCAGGTCTTCTTGATTTGGGGTTAGGAAAGGTTACAGACCAAAGGAATTTCCTTCATAAGGCTTTTTAGGCTCAATTTGAGTTTTGTAAGTGAAGTCAAGCACCTCTGTTTTTCTCCCTAATGGGGAGTGTAAGCTTTTGCTATTCAAACCTGCACACACATACAATTTTCTTGTGGTTCCCCCATATGGAAACCATAGGCAGAAATGACTCACAAATGAAACGTGAAAGACAGATTAAAAAACTATACTTACTTAGGAGGAATTCGTGAAACAGTGTTCACATTTGTGACTGGGACCACTACTTGAAGAATGTGTTCAAGGGCTGTTAATCCACCAGCGGCTTGAAATGCAATCTGATCTGCTACATTCTAAATAGAAATACAAAGAGAAATTAGCCCAATTTCCCAGACATAAAATTATAACCAAATGAAATAGTTAGTTGTAGCGTGAAATATTCTGTTGGTTCAATTATTCTAGAAACACTTATTGAATGCTTACTCAGTGTGAGGAATTACAGGTCAAAAGTGGAGAACAAAAAAGATCATGGTTGCTGTCCCCTGTGAAGCTTAAAATCTAGTGGATGAGACCAACATTAATCAAATACGTATAACAATTTCCACTATAACAAGTACTCTGAAGAAGAAGGAAAGATGCTCTATAGAGCAGCGGGGAAACTAACTCTATATTGGGGAGACGGTCAGCACAGGCTTTTCTGGGAAAGTTGAGGTTTTGAGACAGGCAAAAGGAAAGGGAAAGGGATGAAGCACTCCAAGCATAGGAAAAAATCATTTTATAGATAACTTTTTAACAATACTTAAAAAAACTGGATCTTTTTGTAATGTTAATTACCACCTAACAAGATAAATTGACTTCCACAAAGATTTCCTTTGCTAGAACTTTTCTCTTTAGTAATACAAGGTAATTTAATGCCTAAGCAGTTAGCTGCATTTTTTTTAAAGCCACTTCAGCTACTTTAGGGAGAGTATTAAGTAACCATTTTAGATCTCAACCTATGATTTTTTTCTAGACAATTTCTGAATTATATACAGTTCTTGTGGAAAGGATATCTAAGTTCTTTGCCTTCCTTTGGCACGAGAAAGGCAAGACTTTTTAAACATCCACAGAATCACTGCATCAAATATGTGAAAAATAGGATGGCAATCTGCTGTGGGCCGAAATGTGTCCCCAATCTCTGTTGAGTTCATATGTTGAAGCCCCAACCCTGAGGACCTCAGGATGTAACTGTGTTGGAAGATAAGAAATTTAAAGAGGTGATTTAAAACTAAAATGAGGCTGGTGGGGTGGGGCAGTAATGCAATATGACTGGTGAACTTATCAGAGAAGAGGCACCAGGGATGTAGAAAGGAAAAGGCTGTGTGAGGACACAGCAAGAAGGTATGTTTTACAAACCAAGCAGAGACGCCTCAGGAAAAACCAAACCTGCCAACACCTTGACCTTGGACTTCAGCCTCCAGAACTCTGAGGAAAGTTCTATTATATTTAAGCCACCCAGTCTGTGGCACTTTGTTATGGCAGTCCTAGCAAACTAATATTCAATGTCTTTACTACAACACCACCTTGCATTTGTTTTAATAGCATTCTCACAGTTATCAAGCCTTAAAATGTCTGAGGGACTTTTGGTGGGGGGCGGAGGAGGGGGTACTTGGCAGAGAGATATGAGTTATTCACAAGCTCTGCCTGACTCTTCTGATACTCAAAGCAAAATGCTCTGCCTGCTTTATGTGGACTAGAAATTATTGGTTCTAGAACATGTGTGGAATTTGACAGTATAATATCTTAATCATTCATTTATTCCTTATTGGTACACAATAAAATACAATATGAGACTATAAGAAGTTCATCATGAATCCCAGATAATACTTCACTTATAAGTCCCAGATAAGATTTTAACCCTAATTTTTAAGATTAACAATTTATGTTGTTATTAATGAAAAAATATTTGCTTGCAACAGAACAATCAGAAAACTGAAAAACTAGGTAGGTGCTCAGTAAATTATTTAAAACCATAATGCTGTGACCACTCTTCCTTCTTATGCTGGGATGTCAGTATAAATAGAAATTAGTAATAACTTTGTATTAGTACATCACATACACAGATAAAACTGCACTAATCATAGCCATAGTTATATCATAACTATATGGCAAATTGAACACACCATGTAACAATTACAAAATTAAAAAATAAAGCTCTAAAACATGGCATAGGACCCCTGATACCCATCCTATTCATTCTCTCTCCCTCTCTGCCAGATGTAAAGGCTATCCTGATTTCTGAAATCATAGATTCCTTTTGTCTTCTATTCAGGTGTATAAAAACAGACTCACACTCCATGTATTCTACAATATTTAACTTTCCTTGCTTGATTCGCTTTTTTTTTTTTTTAATTGGAGTGTAACTGCTTTACAATGTTGTGCTAGTTTCTGGAGTACTACATCATGAATCAGCTATGTGTGTATATATATGCCTCCCCATCCTCTTGACCCTCCCTCCCACACAGCCCCTGTTCCATCCCTCTAGGCCATCACAAAGCACCGAGCTGAGCTCCCTGTGCTAGGTAGCAGGTCCCCACTAGTCATCTATGTCACACAAGTTAGTGTATATGTGTCTATGCTGGTCTCTCAGTTTGTCCCAGTTTCCTTCCCCCCTTGCTTTATGTGAACAGAACACAAGTTTGTTCTCTATGTCTGTATCTCTATTCCTGCCCTGCAAATCGCTTCATCAGTGCCATTTTTCTAGATTCCATACATATGTGTTAATATATGATACTTGTGTTTCTCTCTCTGACTCACTCTGCATAACAGGCTCTGGGTTCACCCATCTCACTAGAACTGACTCAAATTCATCCCTTTATATGGTGGAGTAACATTCCACTGTATTTATATCCCACAACCTTCTTTATCCATTCACCTGTCCATGGACATCGAGGTTGCTTCCATGTCCTGGCTACTGTGAATACTGCGGCAATGAATACTGGGGTACATATGACTTTTTGAATTCTGGCTTTCTCAGGGTATATGCCCAGTAGTGGGATTTCTGGGTCGTTCCTAGCGTTATTCCTAGCTTGTTAAGGAATCTCCATACTATTCTCCAAATTGACTGTACCAATTTACATTTCTACGAACAGTGCAGTAGGGCTCCCTCTTCCCCATATTCTTTCCAGTATTTGTTTGCAGATTTTATTGATGATGACCATTCTGACTGGTGTGAGGTGATCTCTCATTGTGGTATTGATGTGCATTTCTCTAATAATTTTGCTCTATTATTTTTCCCCCTAATTCATCAATATTATTGTCTGTAGCAGTATTTAGTTCCTCTTCCTTGCTGCATAGTATTCCCTTATCTAATGATATACCTCAACTTAATTAAATGTTTCACTGCTGATTGACATTTGGGTTGTTTCTACTTTGCAACTCTGGACGATGCTGCTTTCAACTTTTCTGTACATGTGTTGGGCACATGTGACATGTGCTGAGTACATGCTGAAGGGAGGAGCTGCTGGGTCACAGTGCACGCACAGGTTCAGGGTTATCAGTTACGGCTCAACACCTTTCCAACATATTCAGAACAATTCCTATACACCCTGCAGTGCAGTGACGATTTCAGTTATTCTAAATTCACAGCAAAACTTGGCTTTATCAGTTTAAAAAAAAACAAACAACTTTAGTCATTCCAACAGGTGTATACTGGCATTTGAGTGAGGTTTTCATTTGCCTTCCCCTGCTAATAATGAGGTTGAACACCTTTTGTTTATTGGCTTTTTAAAAAAAATTTGACAATTACTTTACAACAGGGTGAGGGCTCAGATCATAAGGATATCATTCAATTAAATTTGATTAATGCTTATCAAGTTCTGAACATTTCCATTACCCTAGAAAGTTCCCTCATGCCCTTTCCACAGTCAATCCTTCCTCCCTGAAGCAACCGCTGATTTGATTAATGGTACCACAGGTTAGCTTTCTCTACTGTAGAATGTCATATAAAGGAGATCATATAGTACATACCAATATTTAAATAGGTAGTGATGAGTTATTCTACAAGCAGTTTATCAGAGCCAGGCCTACGGTAACCTGGGAAGTCTAGGGCAGCATCTAAAGCCTAGGGAAAATGGCAGAGGGGTTCTGAGTTACGAGAGGGAAGTAAACACGTATGTTCACCTCCTTTCTTCTATACTGAAGTAGGAATTATAGATAAAAAATACTTAATAATATTTCAAAAACAGCCACATTAAAATAAGGGAAACATCTCTGTAAAACAGGGATGGAAGAGCTGATAATAATGCTTCCCTGCTGGTCTAGAGGTTAATAATTTGCCTTGCAACACAAGGGACACAGGTTCTATTCCTGGTGTGGGAAGACCCCACATGCTGCAGAACAACTAAGACCGTTGCCACAACTACTGAACCGGCACTCTGGAGCCCACGAGCCACAACTTCTGAAGCCCTTGCACCCTCGAACCTGTGCTCCACAACAAGAGAGCCCACCACAGTTATAAGCCCATGCACTGCAACTAGAGAGTAGCCCACGCTCTCCACAACTAGAGAAAGCCCGTGTGCAGCAATAAAGGCCCACCACAGCCAATACATAAATAAATACGTAAGTAATTCTTAAAAAACCGCATAGAGCAAGAGGCCAACTTTCAGCAGGCTCTTAAAAGAACATCTGCCTTTCTAGACTCTTCCCCAGCTTTCACAGTGATTCAGGCTCAAGTTCCGACTACTCCTCTCCTGTTACAGCTCTTCACTCTCGCTGCTTCTGTCCATGCCTACTCTTACCATGTCAGTTCAGGCTCTCCTGGTCTCTTGCTGGAGGCCCTGCAGCAACCTCCTAATTAGTATCTCCGGATGCAGGCTCACAGCAGCTGCATTCTCTAGGGCTGTGCTTCCCAAACCCTCTAACACAAGTCACGTGTTTTGTTTGTTTTCAAGACTTTCACTCCATTGTGACCAATACTTTTGTGAAATATTATACAAATGAGGGAAAAAAGATATACTAAGCTTGAACCCACATTTTAAAATATTAGATGAAAGTCATGAAATTACTCTTGATTTGTACAGTTATCTCACTGTTTCTAGTGACAAGAGCCTGGCACTGGCCTCTGGACTCCCTTTTGACTAGTCCTGCTCTGAATGCCTTTATATGCAATGAAGATAATATTATCAAGAGTAAACGTGATCACGCTACTCTGGGGGTAGAACATGTGAATGATTTCTTCCTCACTATGTACTGAACGCCCAAATTATTTTGCACAGTTCCTCAGAATCTGAACCCTCTCTAATGGCCTCCTTCCCTGCCAAGCTCCTACCTGTCTCAACCGAATTCCCCATATGGCCCATGCTCTTTCACACCT